TTTAAAAATCTATTTTATTATATTCTTGACACGTATTTTAATTGTGTAATATCCCGTTTATAAAAATTTTTCTTTCATATGTAAAAAAGAAAACGAATTAGAAAAAAAGTAGAAATTTTATTTAATCTTTAAAGCATAGAGTAATCAACAATTCGTCGAAGATTTTAATAATTTTTTTTGTGTTCTTAAAGAAATAAATTAAGGCTGATTCTAAATTTTTGTACGAAACGTCTCTGATTAAAAATTAAAAGACGTATAGAAAGAATGAAATAAAAAATTACAATATATATATATATTCAGAAAGCAAACTAATCTCTTAGAAACTAAACCAATCACTTTTTTTAGAAATTTTAACGTTGAAAATAACAAGATCAATTGTCCATAAATCGAATAATTGCCTGTAATTGATCAGATATTTTTCATTCTTTATTACTCCATGACGAAAACACATATTCGCGATATAATTAATAAACAAATTAACAAATACATTAATAAATAAGAAGGAATGGAATCAATCGAACGGAAGAAGACAAAAATAAAGACAGAAATAAATGAGAAGAAGGATGATGATGGAAATGTGGAGCCCGATAAAATCGAGAATATGCGAAATTCGAAACGAATTGGATCGCCGTATTCATCGATGCGGCGTCGACGAAAATCCGGCCGAGTTGGCCTCTTTGAAAATTCGCGCATATGAAACCCGTTACACAGGCGAATATCGATTCCCCAACATCAGTTGCTCTCTTGCAACTGACACGGAATGCGTAAGAAACCCGTTTACATTATCGCCAATAAATGTCCCGCTGTTCGGAGAAATATTCTTCGACGCGGCGTGCATCGTTGCACCGCGATCGAGAATACAGATTATTGATGTTGACTATGGTGGGCGAGAAATTGGATCCAGATAAGGTATTTCATCATTGGTGAACAAATATTTGTCGATTGACTCGAAATATGGTGGAGAAGATATTTTCGCATGAAGGTATTTTCGACATATTTGACGTAGAATTTAATATATTCAATAGTGGGAACGTGTGTGGGTGGAGAGATTTCCTATCCTGTGACGTCCAAAATTTTTTTTTTTTTTTTAAGGAATGTGAAAGATGAAAAAGAGTCATCCGACTTTTCTTTTTTTTTTTTGTCTTTTTGCATATACGTTCAATAGAAACAGTTCAATCGAGACTGGCAAATTCTTGTGTGTGAAAGTATGATTGAAGAAATTGTATTGTTTTTTTAATTTTGTTTAGAAGTTTGAAGTTTTCAATTAAATTAAATGGTTATTATTATTTCACAACGTGACAGATGGATATTCAGAGGATATTCTCCTATCACGGAATATTTGTAAGTTTTAGTCAACTTCTTTTATATATGAAGGAAAGAAGAGTCGAGCAGATACCTGTGTTTCGATTGCCTATAATTTAAATTCAAATTTAATTAACATACTAAATATTGCATATAAAATTAAATTCTTTTAATTTATAAAGAGACAAAAACTTTTTGGTTATCTTTTTACCAAACGATCGTCGTGTACCAATCTCGAATAATACAGTAATATTTGTCGGTGTACAATGTATATACAAGTTGGTACACACAAGAATTTGCACTAGCGCACGTCTGCTCAGCAAGATACACATCCGATATAATCCAAAGGGTTAGCAAAACAACAGGGGCTCGTTTCGGCTAGTATTCCACTTTCTTACTTGCACTTCCAATTTACATCTTATTCCCTTATTATCTTTCATTTACCACGTTTCGCGCGACTTCTCCCAAAGCTTCGAATATTTGCACATATTTTCCCTTTATTTACTGGATATTTCTTTTTCTTTCTCCTCCTCCTTATTGAGAAATTGTATATAGATTTTGCTTAAAAAGGATTAAAATGGGGGAGATCTTTGGGGATGACGATATCGAGACACACATTTTTTTAAAAACTTATTGTTCTTTCGAAAAATAGTTAGATTAGAATTCCGTCTACCTGTGAAATTTCTTTCGTCAAAAATCGAAGTATCGAAGTAAAAGTAAAAATCTTCATTTGTATATCTGTAATTTTTTAATTAACTAAAAATTAAAAGTTTAAATTTCCTTAAAAGTAGCAATCATTTTTTTTTTTTTTTAATCGTGTCAACGAAATTCAAACAAATATTACCCAAGACTCTTTCGAAGACCATTGAATTGCTTGTCGCCAAATAACTTTTTCTTCGAGACAAAATACCACGCAATTCCGCGAGCAGAAACAATTACCGTAATGAGATATTCGGACTGGAGCGAGGAGTTGTTGCCTGAGTCAGCTCTGTCTTTTGAAACGTCTTGGGTGTCTTGGAGATAAAGGAAAATGTAGAGGGCTGACTGACTCTTGTTTAATTTGGAAATTCGGAGAGTTAAACGTTTCGTCGAATCGGTGAGGTAAGATTTTCGTGTTTTTTTTTTTTTCTGAGAATGACAATAATTTAAATCCTACGTAAACAGAATTTGATGCGTTTCGTTGACCAAACTATTGGCAGAATTATCCCGAGGTAGGATTATCCTATGCACATTAGGCAAATTCTGGAGGACATGGTGCCTCTCAGAGGGAATATCAATGCCGCCTAACGTACTCTTCAAGCAAGCACAAACAATCAAATATTGGCTTGGTGGGCGTACCGCGATTGGCGCTGGAACACCGCTGATACAGTTCAAATAGTCTAAGTTACAAGGGGCAGTTAATCGATCCCTCTAATGTTGCATCTTGCGGTTCGTGTTTCATCGTCAGATTGCCAAGGAGTTCATTGAATAATTTAATTACCATCGTTTTAAAATAAACGGCGATTAAAATTTTATACAAAAAAAAAAAAAAAGAAGACGAAATATATAATTCTTGTCAGATGCAGGATGAAACGTCATTTTAATTATATGTCAAGTCGATGGAAGAAATTTAATTTTCAATTATTTAAACATCCTTTGTATAATCTAATAGTTAAAAGTAAGAATTAAAGTTTTTCCTATCCTTCCCGTGTTTCCTTCTTAATTCTCTGAAATTCTATATATCGACAGATCTTTCAACCCCAAAAGTGGTCTTAACTCGACAATCATATCACACAACGCGTTGGATAGCGACAAATAAATATCCAAGAAGAAATGTTCGAGTTAATAGAGCGTTTCCGTCAGCAGTCCACTTTTCGAGATCATAAATATCGTATTGTATTCGACAATATGTACTGAAAAGTGGCGAGACAGAATCCACATTATCGTCATATTTCCTCGATGAACCAAGGATGGATATATATATATATAATGCATTACACGCTCGACTATGATTCTGCAAGTACTACAAAAGCTAATATCGATAAATGGCGCGTTTCCCTTCGTGTCATTTATCAGGATCACGAGAGGGCAGCATCCGTGGGTCGACGTTCGTCGACGAACAACGTCTGTAATAATGTCGCCAGTCGATTTTTCAATTTTACTTTTACCGGGATACCATTGGCCAATCCCCCTTTTTTTCTCCTTTTTCCTCCTTTCTCCTCCTTCCCCCACGCGGCGCTCCCCCCTCGTATCGATTTCAGATTCCAATTTAATGGCGTCGTGGTATCTGAGCCACGATCTTCCAATACCAATTTCGCGTTATCGGCCTGCGCTCGACGACGATGGCTTCCGTCTTGCCAGACACCATTCGCGCCATCTTCCAAAAGTCCCGAGGAGAGGAGACTCTCAGAAATCGATCACGGATATGGAGAAATTCAAGGTCCAAGTGGTTCCAGGTCCACCAGATTTTTGAGAATCTGGTTATTATTGTTCCATGTGTTCGAGTTTCTAGAGATTGCGAAGAGATTGTGAAGATTGTTGGAATTTTTAATTCGACGACAAATGTAACATTTTAGAATACATTTTCACGATTTACAATCGTTGGAAAATTGTTGTTGGCAAGATTTTTCCGAGGGAGAAAATTTTAAAAAGAATTTATCGAGATTATACACCGTATAATCGCAATTTTAAAATTCTGGATACATTATATTCTATGCATATAAATCTAGAAATTCCTAGAGGGTTGTTTTATCCGCGATTTTAGAATTCTATGCTGAAACTGTATTTCATAAGTAGACAACTCTACAAACTCTGAAACTTATTATACCCGTTATATTAAAATTCCGCGTACGCTGCATTCTCTTCTTATAATTCCAGAACTCAAAACGCCATCGCACTCGAAATTTTTTTATTCTCTCAACTCCTCTATTACAATTTTCAACATTTCTCGCGTAATTCTTCGGTTGAACCTTGAATTTTTTAAATTCCAAACGTCATACACCTCCCTCAAGTCCATCTACAACTTTAAGTTAACCTGTACAGCCATTAATATTTATCAATTTCGAATCTTCAATATCAATATCAACATCTCTTGAACCTTGAATTTTTTAAATTCCAAATATCATACACCTCCCTCAAGTCCAACTACAATTTTAATAGTTTAACCTGGATATCCATTGACATTTCTTAATTCTGAATCTCCAATATCAATATCAACATCTCTTGAACCTTGAATTTTTTAAATTCCAAACGTCATACACCTCCCTCAAGTCCAACTACAATTTTAATAGTTTAACCTGGATATCCATTGACATTTCTTAATTCTGAATCTCCAATATCAATATCAACATCTCTTGAACCTTGAATTTTTTAAATTCCAAACGTCATACACCTCCCTCAAGTCCAACTACAATTTTAATAGTTTAACTTGGATATCCATTGACATTTCTTAATTTCGAATCTTCAATATCAACATCTCTTGAACCTTGAATTTTTTAAATTCTAAACGTCATACACCTGCCTCAAGTCCATCTACAACTTTAAGTTTAACTTGTACAGCCATTAATATTTGTTAATTTCGAATCTCCAATATCAATATCAACATCTCAAATTGAATTTTTAACACAGAATTATTCTCTAGAATTTGAAAACTTATGACTGAGATTAAATTTCTCTAGCAGACAATGATAAACGCAGGATGGGATTATTTCGTGTTGCAGTTCCGCCTCACAAAATCGTGATCGTCGATGACTCAGGGATCGCACGGAACTCGATGGTGGGCCCGTACATGAAGGGCGACACTCTGCGGCTCTACTGCGACGTGTACGGCGGTAAGTAACGTCACGTCGACCCCTTCTCCCTCCCCGTCGGGAGAGAACGTCCGGTCCAATTCGAAAAACGGGCAGAGGTTCGTTGAAGCCTCGTTTGCGACGAGATTTACGTGACGGCGTTCCGTGTACGCGTGCTCGACGAGAAATTCGTTTTAAATTCCGCCGCCTCGTGTCCCTTATCGCGTAATATATGCAAAGGAGATTGTTTGGATATCCATTGACATTCTTAATTCGAATCTTCAATATCAACATCTCTTGAACCTTGAATTTTTTAAATTCCAAACGTCATACACCTGCCTCAAGTCCATCTACAACTTTAAGTTTAACTTGTACAGCCATTAATATTTGTTAATTTCGAATCTCCAATATCAATATCAACATCTCAAATTGAATTTTTAACACAGAATTATTCTCTAGAATTTGAAAACTTATGACTGAGATTAAATTTCTCTAGCAGACAATGATAAACGCAGGATGGGATTATTTCGTGTTGCAGTTCCGCCTCACAAAATCGTGATCGTCGATGACTCAGGGATCGCACGGAACTCGATGGTGGGCCCGTACATGAAGGGCGACACTCTGCGGCTCTACTGCGACGTGTACGGCGGTAAGTAACGTCACGTCGACCCCTTCTCCCTCCCCGTCGGGAGAGAACGTCCGGTCCAATTCGAAAAACGGGCAGAGGTTCGTTGAAGCCTCGTTTGCGACGAGATTTACGTGACGGCGTTCCGTGTACGCGTGCTCGACGAGAAATTCGTTTTAAATTCCGCCGCCTCGTGTCCCTTATCGCGTAATATATGCAAAGGAGATTGTTAAAGGGGGGAAAAAAAATAACAACCGCGTTTTGGTGACGATGCATTACGTTTTCGAATTTCAAAGTTGTGGGTCTCGTACGTAGAGATGAATTTATACATAAATTGTACGGAATAATGTGATTATCCCGCTGCATTTAAAAATGCTTGAAATAACTTGTTTATTCCACTGTGTTTAAAATTATTCCATTGCGAGAGAGGACGATTCCTACGTAACTTTTTGCCAAAAGTCTCTTGCGAAGTCCGTCATTTTAAATTATTTCTTTCGAGGCGAATTAATCCCTGATACTTATGACTCATAGAAAGAAGAATACTAATAATTACAACTTCCATATAAAGATATGGAAGGAACTCGTATAGGATCGATTACGTAATTTTCACACGTGATACGCTGTAAAGTAATAAACACGTTTGAAGATATCGCCAGTTATCAGCGTTGCGATTCATTTCAATTCCCTCTTTCATAAACGCGATACAATCTCGATTCTTCTTCTCTTCGTAAAACCCATCATAACGAGGGACTGAAAAAACGAATGATGAAACGAACGAATCCCACTCCATACGTTTCCACTCGAGCGGAAACAGTAGGGGACAGAAAAGAAAACGAGAAAAAAAGAATCACGGCAATCAGAGGATCCTTTCAAAACAAACTACCGCGAGATAGAAATATCCTCGGTCGAGAATAGGAAATTAAGAAGAAATAGTTTGGAAATTGGGCGTGGAAAAACGTTTCATGCCATCTTTTTTTTCTTTCAGGTAAGCCTACGCCCACGGTGTCCTGGTACCGGGACGAGAAACTCGTCAGCAACAAAACCGTGACGGTGAGGAACGGTGTTGCGCGGAACGAGCTCGTTATCAAAAATTTAGGGAGGAGCGACGTACGCTCCACGCTCACCTGCAACGCGACCAATAACAACAGGTCGATACCCCTTTCGTCCACCGTCTACGTCGACATGAATTGTGAGTACGATAATGATCGATGATTTGACTCGAGGCGATCGAAGCTATTTCTCGATGATAAAGATTCTCGTCGAGGCTTGACGAGATCGTTTCGGTTATCTCGAATCTTTGCCTTCTCTACGTAGATGCGAAGTGTGTACTCTTCCTCGTTGTCTCGAGACAAGTCTTACCGTTTGGAGGACGCTCTTCTACGAGCCACTTTTCTAGAGATCTTTGTTGCTTCTAATTGACAAACTTTCTACATTTATATATTTTAAATGTAAAGTTATATATAATTGGCGTTCAATTGTAGAGTAGTTTTTATTCGTTCGGGAAATCAATATAAATGATTTTGATTTCGTTCAGAGACAAAATGTTAAAAATTCTAAAATCTACAATTACACAAGTAAGAGTGTAATCATCAGTTATTTTGAGGAAATGTTAATTATTTATATTTTCTTTATTACAAGAAGCGATGTTATTTGAACATTGCAAAACTCGAAAAGATCAACGTCGAGTTTCCTTTCAAAATCGAAAATCCATCCGTCGATATATTTGTACATTTCGATTTTCTCCTCGTTGTCGTCGTCGCGCGGAACAATTCGCAATGAAAAAAGAAAAAAAGGAGTCATAAATCGTTTCGTTGAAAACGTACAAGATTTGTTGCACAAGCAGGCGTCAACAATACGGTTGATAACGAGAAGCGGAGTTTCTCACGATGAATCGTGAATTCCTATTGGAAATAGGTATGCACCTCTTTGCGATACCATTTTACTATTGACAAGCTATCGCTGCGAGATGTTTATCGGGATAATAGAAAAGCCAATGGCCATTTTTTTCCGTTCCACGATATGCGGAATCGGAACAAAATACCATGATGAAGGTGGACAAACGAAGTTTCGATCCTTCGATTCTTCGATCTTATTTTCACAAGGATTCGATCGATTTCCATGAATAACGGGATTCAAAAACATTGGTGGATCACATTAATTGAAAAGACGAAACTTCAATTTTCTAGGAAAATCGCAAAGTATTTTTCCAACAAAAGTTGTTAATCTTTTATGATGTATTTAACCATAAAATCTCTGTCTCGAAGCAAAATTCCATCCATCTAAAATTTAAATCGCCAAAACTCGTCGCCAAAAATCGAGACGATCATAGATAAAGAACGTGTTCACGTTCGGTTCGCGTATCGATGTTGAGAATCTGAATTATCGGGCCCATGGAGCGAAGAAAGAGAAAAAAAAATAGTATACGTTAAAGGGTCGCGATAAAGGATCAAAAGGAATATACGCGATGTGTAAGGATAATCCAGTCTTCCCCTCGAGAATCATCTTATATATACAAAAGAGAGGGCATTTTCCAGCCACGGTGTGTAAAAGGAAATGGAGAATAAGGCGTGGCCATTATCGGGATGAATTATAGTCCATGGGATCCATGGGCTGATATCCCGACGCCTTCCACGAGTTGGAGAGGATTATCTGTACAACCGATTTAAAATATTTCTCGATAACGGATCAGGAAGTGACCGTTCCGCTCAACGATCGAGGCTGACTCTTCACTTTTACCCTCTTGGAAACAAAAGCGAGAACTGATATACCGTTTATACGAACAGGGGTGCTTAAGAGGAGATGGGGTGGTTAAACGAGATGACGGTCCGTCATTTGATCGGAGAGGCAGATATTTTTTTAGATCTCACATATTTTTCTTTCAACGACCACGAGGGGGAGGTTCTCCTTTTTCTTTTTTTTTTTTTTTAGATAATCTATAGGGGATGGTGCTTTTGCAGGGTGAATGTAGGTCAACGATGATTTTTTTTAAGTATGAAAATTTCTTTAATAAATTTCATACGTTCGATAAAAATTTTCAAATACGTTTTAAACAATCGATTCATTTGGTGTTGGGTAAAAAATTTCATGGAATACCGTTTGTTCCTCGACAAATTTTTCTATAATCTCAAATATGAATTATCGTTCGTATACTTTCGAAACAATAGATAAATAGAAATAATTCGATCCTTCTTTAAAAATACACCCGATATATATAATAAATGTAATCAAATGTACATTTAAAATAGTAGAATATTTCGAGACCAACTGGAGCTCGAAATTAACGCTCCACCTCGTAAATTCGAAAAGGAAGACCTTAAGCCGAATCCAACCACCCCTAATTAACAGCCAACTCTAGATCCCAAACTAGGTTACGCAAACTTTTCTATACCGTTTTTCTTTTTTTTTTTTNTTTTTTTTTAGACAAGTACAACAATGTCTTCCCTCTTTCGTTCAAATTCTCCCATTTAGAATCCCTGAATAGTTGAATTTGTCACGGACTTACGAACTTCTGAACAATCAATCGAGCCCGCAATCCCAACTCCTGACCGAATATCCAATACCGGGGACAGGATAGTAACAATTATTTGTGACTGGGGCCTGGACTGTTCCATCGATAGCGGTGTATTCGGCTAGCAACACGATGTCGATGGGACAACCAAGATGACTGGACCAGATTATCTTGTCTTTGGACGCACCAAGTTGCGGGAGAATCGTGCAATTTAGAGAGAATGGCGAAGTTTCGAAGGCTGATATCCTCGTTTCGCGATGCTCACTTCTTAAACAAAGTTCGACCCTTATGGATAGTGGACGCCGTTTGTTCGAGAGTTTGTCGACGGGCATTCTGCTTCTGATTGTTTCACTATTATCGTTCGTTGAGAACACGATAGACTCGTGAAATTGAACTGACTCGGCTTTATATTTTTCGAACAGAGAGGGGATATTTTTACATTGCTTTGAAATGGAAGAATTTTTTTAAGGAACGAAATTTACGAGAATAAAACTCCCAAAAGAATTATATCCGAGACATTGTGATTGGACGAGACGAAGTTTCGCTTTAAATGTAGCAAAAAGTAATTCTTCTTGTAAATGCAATTTTTGAAATTGATCTCCAGCGATATTATGAGTTTCTTTAATACAAAAGAATACAAGAATAACAAACTCCATAACAAGTACGGTTAACGCGTGTTTAAAGATTTAAAATAAACGAAGGGAAAAGTTGAATCTGAAAATCTTGAAATTAATCACCGTCATAAATCAACCAGCAACCTACTTTCATTGTTTCTGAGTTTCACGTACACCTTATTTCTACTTCTAAAGTCTATATACAATCATTCGTTCTTCTGTTATTCATCAACAGAGATTGTACAACAATTTTGTTTAAAAAAATTTACGCAAAAATCCATTAAGCGAAACGCACATTAAGAAATGTGCGAGAGAAGAAAAAAGAATTTAACACGTGATGATGTATAAATTACAAAAAATTCTCATAAAATTAACGAAGTAACCAAGAGAGTAAGCAAGATCACTGGAGAAACATTATTATGTGACACGCGATTATGACAAGTTTCTATTGAACGCGACAAACCTATTCCACCGAAACTCTTGAACAAAGTTTAAATAATTTAATCCCAAGTGATACAAGAAGGATACAAGACTGGCATTGTTGACTTTATGCAAACAGATATCCTGACACTGGAGGAATCATCATCAATATTGTTAATAAAATAATTGGCTTCGTTCTCTTCGATCCTGCTTCTGATTCTATTTGCAATTAAAATGATAATTAATTTCAATATAATTCTATGACGTTTGAATATTCTTTTTGGGAAAACAATAATCAGAATTTTTTCCTACTTTATCCTTCAAAACGTAATGTTAAATATTCTATTTTGAATACGCGATGATACCAACAGTCTAACAAAAAAGAGAGTTGTTCCAAAACAATGTATTTTATATAAGCAAAGGATTTGATGTATTACGAATTAACAAGTTGTAACAACCGAAAGAGATCAAAAATTCTAGAGAATGATCCCAGAGAATTTGCATGGAAACAAAGACGCGAAAATTTCTTTGAAATATGAGAAAAGTAAATCCTTTAAAAATATGGCACAATTAAGAGAGTTGTGAATGAGTTGTTGGCAAATCACCGGAAAGTTGTTCAAAAGTCGTCAGTTATGACGACTGGGGGACTCGTTAGAAAGTTGTAAGATAATCAGGAGTAATAGCAAGGAAAGCCTTAAGAGGCAGTTTCGTAATCTCAGTTGCTTCGTCTCGCATACACACAATGTACATATATATATATATATACAATTTTATCAACATCGATGAGAACGAATCCCATTCGTCGAATAGTTGTTCACGTCGACGTTTCCATTCGCTTTCGTAGGTGGGAATTCATTACGAGATCTCATCAGACAGGTTCATCAAAGGGACGGTGCACCGGTGTGGTGATATACACGGTCGGGATTAGCATCGGCGGTATCGGTATCACCGAGCGGATCTTTGACGAGAATGGTTGCGGCATCGCCCTAATGAATCCGCAACACCGGCGAGATCCGTGAAACTTCCGTCTCAAAGATCATTGTTCCAAATGCTATGTTTTGCTTTAATTTTCCCTCGTCTGTCTTGGAATTATGTTACGATGAACGGATATCGATCGATTAAGGTTGAGTAAATTTTTTCTTGTAAATGAAGATATAAGTATTCTCATTCGTTGAAACATAAAAAAATTTTTAATTTTAATAATGCACGATACGATATCAAATATTAGTTTGCTTTTAAAACGAATGAATGCTAAAAAGGCGCACTAAAATTTAAAAAAAAAAAAAAAAGAAAAGAAAAGGTAAAAGGCCCATTTTAAGAATCTTCGCGAGCAGTTTATCTGCGAGAATTCACTCGTAAAAACTTTTACCTTGGTTTTAATCTTCGACTATCGCCCGCTGTGAACGTTGGTCTCTGGCTAACGTTGCTGGCCAACGATAACTCGAAATTTATTTGAATCGAGGGAAAGAGGGAAATTTTTGAAGACCAGAGGAATAGATAAGGATAAGTTTTCACGATTTCTTCGTTTCCTATTTCCCGTTTAAATTTCCATTAAATTATGATTATTAATTCGTGATCGCGACAAATCGCGCCCTCCAAGAGCGGACCATCTTTAATTGAAGGTTCCGGTGCTCGATCGGGTCACCG